TCATCAGACGTTTGACTATCAGACATGCTGTGATCTTCTGCTGACTCATGGAAGATAGAGTCCTCATCAACATCATAATCGTTCTCGTCTCCAGACTCGTTGTCATCGATGGCTGTAAGTTCTCGTAAAACCTCAAAGGCTGTTTTCCTCAGAAATGCCATTGTGTACAAAAATGTCACTGGAATTTATCTGACTGAACGCACAATATCACAGTAAAGTCGTGATTGGGCTAGTTTTCACTCCCGTTTTGACTGCTATAGTATACAACTGTCAGAAATGATAGTGGTGGCTAAAAATAAAAAGAGGAACCAGATTAGAGATAAGCGGTCATTTTGACCGCTAACGGGCTTTCTAGGTAGTATGAACACAGCTACCTCTTTTCTCGAAAACTATAACAGATATGAAAACGAAAATTCACAGTAATGAAGAACGTCCAAAAATATTAAAAGTCACGAAATATCTTTGAAAAATGTCCATAAATGTAGAAAATATGCACATTTAAAAACGCTGAGCGGTCAGAATGACCGCTCCGGGCGTTCTAGTGTTAACTAATTCTTCATGCACGATCACTGTCGACGGAAGCCGAGCTGTGTATATGGAGACTGACTCACAGACTGTCGGATTTCTGGACACAGTTCACTTGTAATTGCTCTATCCCATTGTTTGCTAAATCTATGCATATCGGTTATTCTTAACGGTACCGAGGAGATAATACGAAATGCATGCATATATATATATATATATATATATATATATATATATATATATATATATATATGGTTGGCGGCATCCGGTTTCGGATTTGCCTGTCACTGTGGCTTGCCACAGTTGCAAGAGAAGTGCAGAGAACGACACCAGCCGTTGTACTCGCTTTTTGTTGATTTCACCAAGGCATTTGATACGGTGAACCGCGAGACATTGTGGCTGGTATTGGGTAAGTTTCGTTGCCCGCGTATGTTTGTAAGTTTATTTAAATGTCTGCACAGTGGTATGCGAGCGAGGGTGCATCTGAGTGGAGAGACCTCGGATGACTTTGCAGTTGTCTCAGTTGAGAAGCAAGGCTGCCTTAGCTCCTGCCCTGTTTAATATATATCTTCATGCAATGATGTCTTGTGCTTTTGATGCCGCTTATGCTCGTGGTGTTCGTGTAGAGCCCCGTATTGATGTTGGGTTGCTGAACATCCGTCGTTTCGGTGCGAGAACTCTAGTCTGTGAGACAACTATCCGTATGTTGCTGTTTGCTGATGACTGTGCGTGGTTTGCACACAGCGCGGATGAGTTGCAGCATGACTAGTGCTCTGTCTTCGACATCGGCCAAATTCGGTCTCACCACCAACACAAGCAAAACGGTCTTTCTCTTTCAGCCTTCACCGGAGGTGCAATCTCCAATATTGCCGCGAATCAGCATTGGTGCTGAAGTATTGGAAACTTCCCCCCTCTTTTGCTACCTTGGGAGTGTGATGTCGACTGATCAGCAACTTCACGGTGAGCTGCGTATCCGCGTGTCGAAGGCAGCGGCAGCATTCGGGAAGCTTGAGTACCGAGTGTGGAACAACCACCAGCTTACCATTGGCACAAAGCTGATGGGGTACAAATCCATGGTGCTGTCCGTTATTCTGTACAGCAGTGAAACGTGGACGATGTACCATCGGGATTTGCGATATCTCGAGCGGTTCCATCAGCAGTGTTTGCGACGAATTTTGCGCATCGGTTGGGGCGACAGAGTTGTTGACACGGAGGTGTTGCGCCAAAGTGGGATGTATGCGGTGTACTGCATACTTTTACTGAGACACCTGAGGTGGTTCGGTCATGTGAGCCGTATGGATTCAACGCGGATATCGAAACAACTCTTATACCGTCAACTGAGCCCTGAACGAGGCCACTCGGGATCACCACCAAAGCGACGACGTGTCCTGCAGAGAATGTTGGCAGAACCGGCGCAGCGTTTGTAGGTACGCTGCATTCGATTTACTAACCGCGTGCTTGCATGCTAAGTCTTTATTTCAGTTGATGGGTTTTCAATTTTGTCCTAATGCTTTTCTTTCTCATATAAATGCCTACCTAATCTCTCTTCTATAAACTTGCACACGTCGCTTAAGCCAATTGTAGTCAATTCGATAACATTTTCGTGTTTGTGGCATTTCCGTAAAATATACTTTCTGATCTCGTGAACTTATCTCGGATCCTTTTGCAAACAACTTATTTGATACGCCATAAATTTAAGATTTATGTCACCGTTTCCCTATGCATTACTAGATTTATTTTCATTGTTATCTTTCTCTCAAGTGATTGGCTGTTGCTTGATATCCCCGGTGTGGCTACGCTTGATGTGCATGTTGACAAGGTGCCTACCTGTCTATTACCCACTACCTGGTCCATACTGGCACCAGGAAGCAGTTGGTCGTTGCTGGAGGGGACGGGGTGCACGGTCCTTGTGGCCGTGCTAGACTCGAAGAGTGGTTCCATGCACTCAGTGTGGAGCGGACTACGGTCCAGCCACCGCCTTGTGTGCGCGCTTGATTCCCCAAATACAGCGTGCTTGTGTTTGCCTGTGAAGGAGTGTGGGCCGGCTCCGTTGATGAAACGTGGCTCTCATCCGCATGCCTCCCGGTCTTATTCCTTCGGGTTTACACTGGATATGGGGTATGTGGTTGGAGCTGTGGGTGGTGCAGCGCAAGCCATCCATGGTCCCTTTGTAAACGCGAGCGACCTGGGGCTGGCCACAGTGACAGGCAAATCCGAAACCAGGTGCCGCCAACCATATATATATATGTACATATACATATATATATATATATATATATATATATATATATATATATATGGTTGGCGGCATCCGATTTCGGATTTGCCTGTCACTGTGGCCAGCCACAGGACGCCTGTGCCTACAGAAGGATCATGGATGGCTCGCGCTGCACCACCCACAATTCCAACCACACACCCCATATCCAGTGTAAACCCGAAGGAATAAGACAGGGAGGCCTGTGGATGGGAGCCACGTTTCATCAACGGAGCCGGCCCACACTCCTTCACAGGCAAACACAAGCACGCTGTATTTGAGGAATCAAGCGCACACAAGGCGGTGGCTGGACCGTAGCCCGCTCCACAGTAAGTGCATGGAAGCACTCTTCGAGCCTAGCACGGCCATAAGGACCGTGCATATATATATATATATATATATATATATATATATATATATATATATATATATATATATGCATAGATTTAGCTAACAGTGGGTGCAACCGGACGAGCTTGAGGTGCAGAAGTAATGACGGAATTTCACACCTACGTCCAAGGCAGCTTTAGGCTGACAAATAATTGCTTCCGAACACAAGACTGGCTTCATCCGGCTTATGGCGACAGCCTCAGCAAACCGAAGGAAACGGGGATTTGTGAGACAACACAAGTTTGTACGCTGAGCCCAGCTCTATCCGGTGACCCGAATCTAATAGGTGTTTGCCTATCGAGGAATCCGGCAGTATGCGCGAACGCAGAGTTTGACGAGTGTAGGCAATCTGAGTAACTTCATACTGAACCCATTTTGGTACATGCTCCTTTATCCGGGAAGTCAGTCCTACTAGTTCTGCTTAAGTAACTGTTTCCGCAGTCACATGCAAATTAAATACACCGTGTGAGTTGGCCCCAATAGGCTGAGGTTCCTTCGTTGGAGGTATGGACAAATTTCGGGTTCGGTTGATGACAAAAACTTGTGCCGAAATTATACGCTTAGCTGTCTTCAGCGTGGCTAAATCACCTTTGAAAGGTAACTCGATATACTCTTCCTACTTGGCTGCCGTGTGCTCTCAGTCCTTTGACTCTCGCGGTTACCCGTGTTTCTCGATAAATCTTCGAGGATAGCCGTTTGCCATTAATGTTGCTCATCGTCCAGACAGTCGGCCGAAAAAATTCGTCTGGCACGACTAAATAGAGTTTCCAAATTGTCCGCTTGTACCTCATTGGTTTGAAGTGTAGGTACTAACCGGACCAAGTTGATTTTCGGTAAATGGACTTCTCAATCAATCCATAACGCTTGCGACTTATGAGTGTGTCCAGATATGGCAGACAATTGTTCTCTTCTACTTCGCATGTAACCCGTAAGCTAGCATGAGCACCATTGAGCCGTTCTGCTTCTACGACGAACAGAAAGCCAAGATATCATCGACATAACGTTTGTGGTGTGGCATCTGGGTTGTTTCCGTAGAAATGCTTCTTTTTGCCATCAGCATGAAGAAATCAGCGAGAACAGGACCTAGTGGGCTACCCATTGCTACACCTTTAATTTGACGGTATGGTGTATTCCGGAAATGAACATATACATTCTTCGTGCACAATAGTAGAGATTCAGTAATTCAGTCGGAATTGGTAACGAACAGTCACCATTTTCAGCTACTTCGCCCACGTAATCAACCGTCTAATGTAGCGGGACGTTGCTAAATAAGGATTCTACGTATGACTTTGTCTGACAGGTTGAGTTCATCCAAGTCGCCGATGAGTTGAAACGAGACTAAGACTGTACGGATTGAACTGTTTTTTTCAGCGGAGATAGCAACTTCACTAACCAACGAGCGAGTTTGTGCTGGGTGTTGCGTTCATCATTGAAAGGATTCGCCTGTGTGGCAGTTCACTCTCATGCGTCTTTGGAGACCCATACAGCTGTGGAATAGTGCTTCCACTCGGCTTCAAACTATTAGATGTATCACAGTCTATTTGCCGAATTTCTGACATTGTTATACATTCTGACCGCACGCATTCGAGTTTCTATGTTTCCATCACACTTCATAAGTGGACGGCAAGTTCGCAAACTTACTACGCTACTCTTTCTTACGAATGCATGTAAATGTGAAAATGCGTTCCTGTTGTGTGATGAAGACTGCGGCCATTCACCGCGATGTGTTCAAACGCCTCGAGACTGTCTGCCTCCATTTTTTTTATCAACCATTACGCTGTCATCTGTTGCTCCTTTGAGTCTTCCCACTCGTATCCTTTTGAACTTATAGGTGCGATTCGAAGTGTTACCTTCTTACGCCTGTGACACCGTCTCCATGAACGCTGTTATGTCCAATGCCTGTGAGTACGATGTGAGTACACAAGTATTATTGTATTATTTAATCTATATCCTCTCTATTTCACCGCGACAGCGCCTGATTGTGATGAGACAGTTTGTGCATGCCTATCTAATAATAATAATAATGTGTCAGCTGTACGCCGTAACGGCGCTTCGCTGCCGCGCGACCACCACCAGTCGCGCGCGGGCTGAGTATACCGCGAGGACGCCCACCCCTACGCGGATTCGAACCGGTGACCTTATGATTGCAAAGCAAACGTGCAGTCCACTCGGCCACCGGCCGATCATGCCTATCTGGACACCCCAAACTCGGAGGCCTGGGAGACGGTCTAACTGTAGTAAATCAAATGAAAACACGTACGATGACACTGTTGCAACCTGTACACACACAGCCAAAATCGGTCCGCTCACTCACATACACCTTTTATCCACATCGCATTAGTCGTCAGGCTAGAATGCCGCCGTAGTATGAGTCAACCAAGCACGTACGCCGCCTTATTCGTAATAGTCAGTCGAAACACTCTTCACCATTGGCCAACCTAGCGAGAGTGACTTTCAGGGTGCCCAGAGAGGCATGAAAGTCACTCCCGCTTGATTGGCCAATGGTGAAAAGTGTTTCGATTGACTATTACGAATAAGGCGGCGTACGTGCTTGGTTGACTCATACTACGGCGGCATTCTAGCCTGACGACTAATGCGATGTGGATAAAAGGTGTATGTGAGTGAGCGGACCGATTTTGGCTGTGTGTGTACAGGTTGCAACAGTGTCATCGTACGTGTCTTCGATTGACTATTACTACAGGTAGACCGTCTCCCAGGCCTCTGAGTTTGGGGCTACGATTGTAGTACCGGATTTCCACTGAACTCCCACCGGACTTTTTGAGCTAAACGTTTCGGCTGAGAGTCTTGGCCCTTCACCACTCTAGCGGTGATCCAGGCCACCTGTAACCACAAAGGTTGACATGCTGCACAGTTTCGGAACGGAAAGTCATAACAGACTACTGCTAACGCAACTAACTGCACCCAACTTATCTCCTCGCTATTAGTTGTACGCATCAGGGGATTTGGATGCAGCTCTAGTGAACACCGTTCCCGCCTGCAGGGCTGAATCCTCATTGGGCAGTTGTCTGTGTGCATCCCATATGACAACAGAAAGTTAGGTTAGTGCTAGTGATGCTTCTTTGCGGCCGCCACCTATCATCCAGTGGACCACATCTCTCTTGCGTTTGATTACATTGAACAGTGTGGCCTTAAAGTGGACACAAACAATGCGAACAGCACAGGTGCAGCTTCAACGCCGGAGGAGGTAACTAGTCGTAAAGGCCATTGATTTTAGATTCCACGTTCTTGCTTCGGAACAGCCCTCTGTCATTTTCCAAGCAGCATCGCTGCGTTCATGGTAACTTGCTCACCAAATAAACTCTTACCTACTGAAATTCATCAGAGACGCGTCGACAGGGAAAAACTGTTGGACGGATCAGCACTCTGCTATCGCTAACCACCTAGTGATCCGCGTTTCTGCTCATGACACCAGTTGAAAGTGGTATTTTTTCACTATCAAAACGTTGGTAAGCCTGTAGTGTCATCGGGACATTTCCCTCGTTGAAGGATGGGTCTGCAACGCGCCTGTCCGCGCAGTGCTGTTGTATAGAGGCGACTCTTAGCCGCTTCGTGTGAATGGCCTTCGGCCTTTGGTAGCGAGTACTTGCGGAGTGTAACTCCTGTGTGGTGGGACCGCTAGGCTTGCAACTACGGTCCCAGGCGTCGTGTATTAGGCGACGCAAGCCTTCCTCTTGACAGGCTATTACCACTGATCCAATTATGATCACTTGGCCACGTCCTACGCACGCCGAGTAGGCGATTATCTCGCCTCGTGCCTCATTCACTGTTTCAAGACCACAGTGAAGGAAATCGGGGGGGGGGGGATCATGAGTCTATCTTACGACGAAAAAATGTCAAAGCACTGACGTGCAGTTTTGTTTCGCCGGTTTCGCTGACCATCCATTGATGGAGAACACCGCGGGTTCCAAACGCTTGAGAACGTCGTGCGATATCAGCTTTAATGGGGCATTTATGAATTTATGCCCCGATTTAATTGTTTAACGTCATTTTCCACCCAGATTTTTCAATCACCAACTCAAGCATACCTTTCGTTTACAGGTTGACGGCTTTCTGTTCTACCATCAAGACGTTCGGTACAAGCCTGGTGCTACGCCCTTAGTTGGGTGGTTAAAACCCTACATGATGCCCGAATGGTTCCCCGATCTGCACGTGCATGAAAGCTACATGAAGGATATACCTGTGGATTACACTGATTATCTAAACGACGTGCTTATCCAGGAAGAAAGAGGAAGACGGGCAAAACCCACTCAACGGACAACAGCTGTACATACCGTTCAGAAATAACTCGAGCAATCTCCTCATTCCGATTTACTCTCCACTCAGATGATGGGGGAATAACCGAATTGATATCTCGATGTTACTCTCTCATCTTTGCAGATTCAAACACACACGTGTGTCCGCCAGAACAACAGTGACACCGCCTACCTAGAAGCGGGTGCGACCATATCATTGTGCTTTCAATAAAAGATCGATATTTGCGAGATCGTTGTCATATTTTCGAGGTATCAGTTTAACCATGAAACAAACACTTCGGTCCATAACTCCAAGTAAGAATACCAAAACTCAGTCTGTTAGTATCTCCGCCAATTCGTGTCTTTCAATCTTACACATGTAATTGGTATTCGCGAACGCATCAAGTGATATTGGTTGTGATCAGTTTCAGCGTACAGCGGCGTTACCACCGCCGAGTTAGAATGACTGTCAACTGTACGCAGAGCGGCGGTCATTCCCGATCGCTGATAATGGATTCAAGCTAACATTCAGTTGCGCATGTGAGGGTGACAAATGATGCATCGCGGTCAGCTTGGTGACTTAGTGACGGCACAAGCAGTTTAGCCCTTCGATTCACTAAACCCTACCACTAAGCATCCTGTATATTTGCATAAGCATTAAGGGATATCGCTGGCAGTCTTAACGCCTAAATTTCGACCAACGAACCCTAGATGGTTCTCCTGACACTGTGGATCATACACCGCTTCGTCGTCGGTGCGTTCACCGAAAACGAACTGCCGTTGCTAACGAGGCACCTATCTGGTTCGCCATGACTTTCGCATATTTTGCCTTCGGACAGCAGCTTAGCAACGAATGACCTTTTTTACTTTTTTCGGCCGACTTCGCTTCGTGATGTGTTTGAGGTGCCTGGTGAACTGTAACGGATGGTCGCTAGATTGCGGTGTGTTAGACAAAAGTTTCTCGTCTGTATTGGACGCGGTTGAATCATGTTTCGACGCGGCGGTTGTGTATTATTGGAGAACCGTCAAGAAGTAGATACTGACTCGTCCAAGTCAGTTTATGCCAGAGTAAAAACTGGAATTCGCGGTTCACGCATTTGGTTTGGGATTTATGACCTAAGGATTCCAATCCGCGCTTCTGTATGGTTTTAGATTCCCCTGAGGTATCTCAGCCAATGCATTCGGCCGCATGCCACTGAAGTACCAGTAAGAAGCATTGGTGCGCTGTGAATATCATTTCATCTTGACGAGACCTGGTACGATGGTTTGCAAACCTCCTTGTTCCAATGGAAGGCATCAGCAGTACGCCGGTACACAGTACCGACGCTTCGTACGTGGGCTAAGGATACTGCGAGGGTCGCCTGGTGCCTACACAGGCTCGAACCCGCACCCCCGGATTATAAGACAGGCTTGCAGTTCTTAAAGCTACAAGACGGTGGCAATTTCCATGTGTCTTCCAAGTCAGTGGTAAGGAACCTGATCAAATCAGTCTTAGCACCCTTTTCATTAAGGTTGAAGAGAAGTGGCTGATTCTCCATAATCTAGCTGTGTGAAGTAACACACTAACACTGTAAGCCAAACCCAAAACCTATCTGGAGCACAAGCGCGACTGGTCCTCTGTGACAGCTGAAAGGCACAGTCCTTGCCCACTAGTATGCTAATGCCCGACTCAAGTTTAGCCACATATTTTTGGCGAAACTACACGAATTTGCTAGACATTCCAACTGCAATCGGCAATTATCACAGATGCATAGTTTACGAGGGGAAAAACTAACTGTTCATTCTGAATCGTCCTAGACTGCGCGTACGCGACCCCAACTAGCAGTTTCCGATCGGATCTGTAGTCACAAACTGGAGTCGCGCGTTTCTCTCACTGCCTTGTATGTACAAATGACGTTTGTTCAGACTAAATTGAACGCTTCGGGTGGACTCCCAAGCAAGCTAGAAGCAGGATAACTCGAGAATGGGAGAACAGAGTTTGTTATTGGCTCATAAGACACTATCGCCAGCATAATTTCCTCTTTCTCCGTTTAACTTTTATATTGTGGATATCATGGAACCAGACTTTTGCCCTAGAGTTCAGAGATTAGTGCCCTCAAATGGAGTGTATCTGCATTTGGAACATTGTCTATTTTGTTCCCTCTTTCGCGACTACTACTCTTCTGTTTCCCAACAACGGACCATAATCATATCATACTAGCCAACAAACGGAATCTGCGAAGGTTTAGTCTGTTTTGTGTCTCGGAAACATTCATACAACGGTGCCTTATTGCGTCCACGCCTACCATATGATTATACTCACACTTCGGGTGTTCCAGTGAACCTGTGGCTCGCGACGTGTAAGTTGTTGCAGCCGCTCTCAGCAGACCGGTAGCAACAGTTTCTGATGAACAGCCATATTTGCGGATTCCGACATGCAACTCCATTTGAGTAAGTATTCGATGACTGAAGACATCCCGAAAGCTGTCAGAAAAAGCAGTTCCACTCACTTAACCGAGAGGTTAAAAATATGGAAATCACATCCGGTTCATTAGCGTATCATAACCATAACATCGCATCTGGTGACGTTCTGGTATTTACGCTTATCGTCTTGACAATGATTGCACTCTTTGGTTGTGCGTTGATCGTAACCTTGACTGCGGTTGTACGCAGAATATTAGGGCGGATGTGAACCGACGCTCTGGTAAAACTGATGGCTGTCCTGTGAATAATGCGGCGCTATGCGAGGCGATTTCCTTACGGCTATAATTTACACGCAACACAATCAACCTTGCACCGTATACGCCTTTAGGATCACTTAAACTCTTGGCATCGGTTACGACCAAAGCCCAGACCTTTGTTTTTTCCCCATAGGAACTCACCATCAGTGCGCATCACGGCTTTATTAGGAATCGGCAGTCGTAACGAATGGACCTGAATGCGGTGCGACGTCCAGCATATTTCGTCGACCTACCTATTGAGCTATACTTGGAGGGGCCCAAGGGCCAAAAGCTTTGGCTGAGGACGCTAAGCGTTCTCTTGTTTTGGTCTGAGCGTCCTGGCACTATCACAGCCCACGTCCTACCTCAATTACTTCAATTTTCAACCACATCGCCCATCGCGCAGCTCATCACGGGTCGCCTTATCTGCTGCATACAACACGACAGATACGCGGAAAAATGCTACAGCTGGTGCCTCCATTCTTTTCTTTCTACCCCTCCAGTCTCTATTACTAGCCTTCTGTAATTCCCAGTTTAATTGATAGCAACAGCAATGTCACTGCAGCCATAACGTATGCAACTGTCCTCCCGCACCACCAACTGGACACCAATCGCCAACAACTCCTTATGAGGCCACACTGCCCCGTTTCCTTTGCGGCGCTCAATGTTAACACTCTAAGATAAATAGGTCAACAATCTGCATTTGCACACATGTTAAGCACGCTGGATATTGACGAGTGCTACGTTTCCGAAACTAGGATCAGTGATACTCAAGGGTGTGTTGAAGTAACTGCGCCCGACTCGCTATTGGTTGCACGCATCCGGAGATGCTGGTTGGAGCGGACACTGTCCTCAGCTCCAACGCTGTCATCGTTGGTTGATTGGATTCCTGTGATCAGCCGTTTGTGTGTAGTTCGTTTAACCACATCAAGTGAGGTGGATTCACGAAGTAGCGTTAGACGTTTTGTTTATGTTTTCCGACATGCCCTCACCGATTGCAGCTCTGGTGCTGCGAAGGGCGAACTGAACACATTGCTTCGCAGTATTACCAGTACAGATATAATAGTTTTTGCAGTGGATATGAATGCGCAAGTAGGTCGTCTGAGCTCTTCAGAAGCTCTGCTAAGTGGTAAATATAAACTTAACTTTGACGGTACGAACAACGGTGAACATTTGTTACAGCTATGTGCGGAGCACCAGTTGTTTATTAGTAGCACCACTTTTGGGCGCCGAAGTGCTACTTGACATCCTTCTGTAGCTGACCAGCGATGGACCCATCGATCATATTGCCATAAGTTATGGGTGGCGTGGTTCCATCCTGGAATGTCGCCCGTTCTGGAGTACTTGTGTCGATCCTGATCATGCGCTGTCCTTGTTACATGACCGACACCGGGAGACGTACCAAGGGTATCCCTCGATCGTCAACCGAGAAGTTATCTCAGCCCTCGGTCAGGCAAGCCTACCAGAATGCTATGCGTATCGAACTTTCGCCCTCTTGTCTTAATGACACTGAGCTGCAGTGGGAGAGGATCTCGGCCGCCACGCACTATGCAGGAGCCTCCGCTTGCGGCAATATCAATCGTCATCGCATCAGTCACTGGATATCCGAGGTCGGTTAACCTGTTGAAGTCCAGGAAAAACCTCCCAGTTCGCTGTGAGCATAATGTGACCCGACGGACTAATAGGCGTGAACTAAAGGGTAGCCTGCGTGTTGACAAAGAAGCCCAGTGGACCAGATGGGTTTAAAAAATAGAGGATGCAGGAGCAGTAGGCAATTATCGCAAGCTCTTTCAACAGATCTGCATTACTGGTCCCAGGAAACCAGGCGTCAGTGAGACAACCAAACACAGCGTGGGTACTTTGGTTCAAAATAAGGAGCGCCGTATGGCTCGTCGGGCGGAACACCCTCAAGATCAGTTCAGTTTTACCCGTCGTGGACTGTAGACGTTGAGGTGCTGCCTGGTGAAAAGTTATTTGATCTTGATTATGCGGGCGATATTGTCTTGCTTTTGAACAATGTCGGCGTGGCGCAATCAACCCTGAATAGCCTCTCTAGAGTAGCCTCATCACTTTGCATGCGCTTCGCGCCTTTATAGTGCAGTGCTGTTACAGGACCACCAACTACTGAATGATCCCTTGATGGCGATGAACTCTAGGTAGTTGACCACTTCACCCACATTGGCAGCTGCATCGGCAACAATGGTCGCTTAACGGCTGAAGTCAGTTCCTGCATTGCAAAAGCCAGAATTGCCTTTTTGAATCTGCGTCAAAAACGAATCCCCCTGGGTCTGAAATGCCGTGTTTATGAGGACCTTCCTACTTGGCCCTTCCGAACTGATGACCTGCAGCGCCTCCGTCTTTGGTCATTGCCGCATGCGAAGCATTGCTGGTGTCGGGGAGCACTGTCCGCAACGATGATGTGAAGTGATAACCAGGCTAGTTACTTAGAACAAGTAGCACTGAATAAGTCGCGTTGATTTGGACACGTACTACGTATGCCTGACCACCGCTTGCCGAGAAAGGTCGTTTTGTTTACCAGATGTAGGGTGACGCAAGCATCGATGTGGGCGAAAATTAACTTGGCAGCCGTTGGTCCGTCATGCCTTCTAGGCTGGAGTTCACGTGACCTGCCTTCCGCTTGGCTTGAGACGTCACAGAACATAGCTCGCAGTGGCGTGTCTGCTGCCGTCTCCTAGTCGGACTGCATGTTTAAAGCATGTCTGGCGCTGAGTTATCTATGGGGTAATGGCTGATTCTGACGCGGGGCAATGAAAACCGCGAGGAAACTGTTTTGCCGATGTCGCTTTTGTGCGATAGCCAGCTGTTTGTGATGGTGCGTTGTTGACAAGGCGTAAGCACCTTGGCCCTGAGTGTTTGCTTGGGACATTAAGATTTACGCTAGGTCCCTCTCTCTCATTGTTTTTCGTTCCGTAGGTAGTTATGCTTTTGTGGCAGCGAAGCTTCAATTCAGTTGGCTGATGTGTTGTTGTCGATGATGATGATGTTGATCAGAAACCGAGAGGCAGACCACGCAAGCTAACTGCAATACAGTGCGACTCGTCCTCCGCACGTTACCGGCGTTACAGACGGGCTGGCCCCCAGAGCCACGGCTTCTTGTAACAGAAGACAGCTTTCAATGCGAATACTGTGAGCATTTGTCCCGCAAGGCCGATACGGTCGTCTATTGTTCCCCTGGACGCTGAGAAGACTGAATTGGAACTAATACGAAGAATACTAGATTAATTTCACCGAAAAACCCATATTCACGTTGGAAGAGCTTGAATACCTGATCAGCGAGATGCCGTAAAAAAACCTGTGGTAGAGCCTACGACAGAATTGAATGTAAGTAGGACTATCCTGGCGAACGCCGATAGCCCCGACGTACGCGACCTGTGTTTGTGCGTTGAGAGCTCAGAATGAACGCATATTTTATGGAAACACCTCCCTACTACTTGCTTCGAATAAAAAAGAATGACCGAGAGTCGGCTGCGCCTTTGAAATTGGTGTCTGTGGTGGATGTTACGCTATTGTATCATCCACCTCAGACTGAAAGTGCAGTCAGTACAATTTGTCCAATCCGGCAGCCGGACTGTTCTTCGCTCCTCCGCATTAAGGCAGCAGACAATGTTTAAAGTTACTTCAGATGTTAAACTAACAACATTGTGCAGTGACTGAATCACCGCTGTTGACTGAAGGCATCTTCCATTCTCTGTTTGAACAAGTAGGTCAAACTTTCGCATAAGGATGAAATCGCACTTTGACGGGACTCAAAAAGCCTACGTCAAGGGACCGTAACTCAAAATGTTACGCGAACATGAAGCAGCTCAGCAGTAGGTCATTTGAAATGCAAAGTGGCATCCCTATCGTGAATAAAGGTGTCGGTGTTGTCTCTGAGTTCGTCAGCTATACAGGACTTCCTGGAATCAGTGGCACGATAAGCTGAACAATTAGCCACTTTTGTCGGCTGGCACTCAAATAGCTGTCTGGTTGAAGTGTACCGCTGGAGTCGGGGACTCTTCTTTATGCTCTAACAAGTCCGCTTAACTTCTAAATATCCACGATCCATGCTATGACAACTAATGGTGCTACAAACAGATCCCACTTCCTGTGTAGCAGCAGAAATCCTCCACCGTGTCTTTAGATGCGAACGACTCTAAAGCACATAAGATGAAGAGCGATCTTCGATCAAAACCGAGCCCAACATCATTTTTGACAAAAAAAGAATAGTACACATGTGGATAACCTCACTTTTTAAAGAATACATCGATTAAGCGGAAAACCAGATCGAGAATATTTATCGTACATAAATCGACTCTACAGTTCTCTCAAACAGTAACACCGAGTGCAAAAAGTCACAAAAGAGAAAGGGGAGCTGACAAATGAGGGCCGGATTGCTCTGTCGAAATGCTCTAAGCCAAAGGCGTAACTGTGGATCATTGCTGTTTACACTCTGGTTGTTCGGCAGCACCAACTTTCCCCGGACTCTTTGAACTACCACTGTGCTTGTGGCGACGACCCCGGTGGTTGACCTGATGATAAAAATGTAGTGAGCTTTTCATGGAAACGACGCAAGGGATATAAAGGATACACAAGAATGCATGAATTGCTACCCATATGTGCGGCCATATACCATTAACGAGACATGTGGTTTAGACTCTTCTGTCCACTGTTACGCATACGGGTGATTGAAAGGCTTGATAGTGACAGGTAATGTGAGGTAAGTTGTGAGTGCTAATCTTCAACAGATGACAATGTTGGTCTTTTCGGAGGCATCTAATATGGTTAGCAGCATCCGATTTGATTATCAGTGCGCTGCTCTACCCACAGCCCCATCCAGACCCGATATCCGGTGTAAAACCGTAGGAATAGGATCGGGTGGCACGTGGATGGGAGCCACATTTCATCAAAGGAGCCGACCCATACTCCTTCAACATACAAAACAGCAGCATTCTTGTTTAACTAAATTGGAGATCATACGTACCAGACGTGCACAATGCGATGGCTGGGCCGCAGCCCGTTCCACATTGGATGGAACCATACTTTGAGCCTACCACGGCCACGAGGACTGTGCACCTCGGCTCCACAAGAAACGACCAAATGTTTTCTGGAGCCAATGTAATCTAGGTGGTGGTTTTTCGAAATGTAGGCATCTGGTCAACATGCGAAGTAAGCACAACCACACTGGGGATCTCAAACAACCAACAGAGATCATGAAAGAAAATAAACACGCAATTGGACAGTAATTGTGCGGCAGTCACAAAACAGGGCGCTAAATCCGATTTAGTGTAAAGGTGAGCTTTGGCGGGTGTAAGACAGGAGACATCAACCGACTAACGTCGAGAATGAAAGGAAAATAAACAGGGAATATGCAGAGGATTAACGGAATTGAGTAATTAAAACAAAGTGGGTACATTCAGGTCTGGTGTAGTGCGAAATAAGTGTAAGTTACTCTAGCATCAAATCCGGTGAACAAGCACAGTGAATGCAACATTAACCTCGGCATTAGGTGCCTAACATAGGAGCTCATATATATCTGCTTCTGATAAGGTTCCCTCCCTCCAGTGATTGGACTGATTGAGTTACAGTTCCAAGTGGTTCGCGCGCCTGGATTCCGATCAGGTAACGAAATCCGTTCAACAATACCCCAAAATGACTTCGCACTTAGTCACTAACCGTTGTGATAAGTGCCGAGTGTCGTGATTCGATGGCATCGGCTGGCAATAGAAGTCCTGGGTTCTAACCACAGTCCGGTTATCAGGCGTCAGCAGTACGCAGTACCGATGCTTCGCTGCCGTGCAACCACCACCGCCTGCACGTGGGCTAAAAATACTGCAAGGGTCGACCGCAGGCTCGAACCCGCACTGCCAGATTACAAGACAAGCTCGTTACTCTTAAGGCTACGGGCCGGCAGTCCTATTATTATCCCTACCTGACAAGTACGAAACCCATTGTGGAGTGAATTGTTTATCAGTTACAGTCCCCATGGCCAAATTGACCCAAGTGCATTTCCAAGCGAATTGAGGTTGTGCAACGCGTGTCTCAAAATGACCCGTCCAATGTTAGCCTGTGTTAAGATCAGCAACCCGCCATCTTATAACCGCTCGAGGAAATAGATAAAATGCTGGCAATGATTGACCGGAGGCAATCGTTCGAAGCGCAGGGAAAAATTTGGCTACAAAAAGATAGTGAGCACATATTAAGGTAAAATTGTATCGACAGCACCGACGCTTCGCTGCCACGCAACTACCAACGGTCGCGCATGGGCGAGGGTCACCCGGTCTCTTACGCAGGCTCGAACCCGGGTCACAAGGCAGGCTTGTGATTCTTTAGGCGACGGGCAGTCATATACTCAAATGAGATAACGCAGTGTATCTGTAAGCTGTGCAAATTACTGTAAAGAGCCAAAAAACCGCTCTAATCACCAAAAGTTTCAGTGTGCTTACAGCTTTTACCGATAGTGTGGTACGCATAGCACCGAGTAAATCAAGAATCAATGGACAAGTTGAAGATCAACAGGATGGGGCAGTGAACACAGTGTTGTAGTGAGTCAGTAGAAACAACAGTAAAACACATTTTCAGCGCAAAATGAATTTGTAGGTAATGACCGCACCACCACAGGCGTTCGTCAATGCGGCTGACACTTTGTCCAATGCGATGTGAAGTGCTGCCGAGCCGCTGAAACGCATAGGGGTCCAACAAAGAATTCAATAACACCCGGGATTACCGCAGCAACTATCACTAAACATTTAATAGTATGTCTGGTAAATTGCTCATCTATCCGTCTAGAGCGATTCTAGTCAATGGTCCACGAGACGGATAAGGCGCCGGCAGGAAAAGCGGTGCCATGATGTTGATGAGGGCAAGTTAACCGATGGATATACACTGTGTTTCGGGCTGGTTGGAATGAAAAAAGGCGTGCACATTCAAGACAGCAGTGCATCAGTACCGGGCTACCGCGGTATAATTGTGATTGCACCTGGACAGGCCTAACTGGCCTGAGCAAGGAGCGTTCAATAGGTGCTTATTATTATCCCAACTAATGACAAAAGTGGTATTGACCACGCTCTTGTAGACTGAAAGTTAGCTTCCAACAGCCCACTTTAGCAAAGTGGCATTCCTTTCAAGTACGTCTTGCACATATGGAATGTAACGTTCTGAGAAAGTAGTCTTGTAAAGCTACGTCGCCTAAAGACTACTCTCTGCCGCATAGCCTATTCCGTCACAGTCTTGATCGCAATTGCAGGAAACAAGTGGAGTTACGCTGCCCAATTTGTTTCAGAGTGACCGTGAGGGGACCAAAAATTGTCTTCATTGATGCACATAAGCGTTCATTCCAACATAATCACTGATGATGTAATATTCCATTAGCATGGAACTGAGAAACTGCATTTCTAGGCGGATACTGATTCACGTATTCCACAAAGCACGAAGCCCATTGGCTCGCAAAACTGATTGACAAATCGTGGGACCACAGCACACACACATGTGGGTTCTCACGCATAGTGTCCACTGTGGGAACTTTCTGACAAATATTGCTGCAAACTCCGAATTTGAAATTAAAGAGGATCGATAAGCCACGATTTTACGGTCTGTATTCTTATAGAAAAATGGTAGGACCATCTTTCTTTCCTCTTTATGTCACCGGTATGTTATTGTTTAGAGGCATTCATCCCACGCCAGTCTGTACGATAAAAATACAACACTGCATTGTCACCGAATAGGCGGAATGAGAAAACACTGCTTGCGTCACCTGAAGGGGATCGCAGAGTGAGAACAGAGCTCGAGTCTTGCAAGCGGGTCTGCGATAAGCAGCAGATATCGATCGAGAGGGTCTCTAATGATCGTGCAAGTGCTGCCTGTCGACCGATCTGAAGCAATGTGCGTACATTGAGGCATGCCAATGTGAAGGAGAATCGAGGGCTCCAAATGCAAGCCGATGAACTGGAATGGACCGCTTGATTGGACATGGGCTTGTCGACAAGAGAGGACTGACGCGTTCACATGTGAGTTGAACTTAGAAGATAAATGCCTAGCAAAGCATGTTGGGGGAGGGCCAAGAATCGGGGGGTTGAAAACAGGGGGGATAAAAGTGAAGCTGGAACGGGACGGTAAGGGTGAAAAAGCGTAAGAGGGGGAATAAGAAGACGGGAGGCTTGAGCAGTAGCATCCAAACCCCTATCCACCCTGCTCGATGCAGCAGATAGGGCACCGTTGATTATCCTCTGCGGTGGCCAGAGCATCAAGAAATTGTTTGAGAAAAGATTCATTGTATTGCGTGGGCAGGATACTGTCAGGTTGCGAAGGCCTAGACAGGAGAACGATTAGGGTTCTCAGCCAAAGCCTTTGGTTCAAAAACATGACCGCAAGGCAGCGGATTTGACGTTGGGCTACAAGGAGCCCGTTTTAAGGAATAAGGTGCCACCCTCATTCCAACACCCAACCTGGAGGACCAGGAGGCTGAGTTTGTTTGGCCTCTAACCATTGACCAATCTGGTATGAGTGGCTCTGAAGGTGCAAAAGCACCACCCAGCATAGCTCAATGGATCGCTGAGGCACACAAACCATCGCACCACGGTAAGGTCCAGCCTCATTGCGATGGCTCTGTGGCGTGCCGTAGATTGACTTCAACTTATCGATCCGCGCCCATCCAGCGTTTTCACGATGGACGAGAGTGGCAAGTACACCCGCACCCAGATGCAGGCATACGGTCATTACTCCGGTCGTTCGCACCCATATATATGGGACATTTTGAGAGAGACCAACATATACTATTGGATAGTTGACAATTTAGTGCGATCTCCTCACCCAAAGGCGTGATCCTTGGTCCCCGAGTAACAGAGTAGAAAGGAACAAGACTTCTGAGACAAACTGTAGTTGCGCGGAGTCCATGGGATATAGACAGCTCCAAGACAGAGTTTCGTGTTTTGAACCACTGCGTTCATTGAGTGCAGTGGTAGTCTTTTGATGAAGTGCCATCGCATTCAAATACGGATTGGAGTAGAAAAATTAATTCTATGGAGCGAGTAAACACGGTTCGATAGGTTTGTTCATGATACACTAGCATCGTTTAAAAGAGGAGAAAATGCCAACACCTCGACCGTGAAGAAGTTGTTGCATCGCGGAACCACTATTGCGGATTGAGGTAAACATCAATCCGAGCTAGTCAACATATCTAACTTATCCGTTTGCTATTTCATCAGTATCCACAGCTCTGCAAAGTCATTTATTATACACCTTATCTACAGGTGGAAAACCCTTTAGCTATCGTGCCGCAAAATAAAAAGAACACATAACAGAGGCACGCCGGATGTTATCAGTAACGGATAAGCATCGTTTCGGAGTTAGCAGCCGAACACTGCCACTAAAAATATATGCCTAATAAATGAGATCGTGATAGGAGGGGGGGCCAGGAACTCACAACACAAACCCCATTGAGATCGGCTCCTAGCTATGTTAACAAGTATATTCAGCCGAACGTGTACATCGACCTTCGGTACACAACCAGGAAACCGAGAAGCTCTAAGCGAAG